TTTATTGGTAGTCACGAGACTGCTTATTTATGAAAAATAAGTAATTTCGTCGATTTTTATGGCAAAAATATGCTTGCTTCATCGACATTCCCCCCAAAGAATGGGATGTGGAAATAAACCTGGCCTTCCTTGAAATTCATATCTGATCTGTGACCCACGGGCACTCATAGCGATGAAGCAAGCATATCTTTGCCATAACAATCGACTACATTACTTATTTTTCATACATAAGCAGTCTCGTGACTACCAGTAAATCAGTTATATGAGATGTGCTCACCATATTTCTTGTCTCTTTGACGAGTTCGTAGCTTGGTGCGGAGAATGGCAAGGCTCCCGGATGATGCCGGCTACGATGCCGGCGAAACGTTTGAGAATGTATCAAGTCCACTGTCAGATGCTGGGAATCCAGACAACTACTATGGCAGACGACTTCGAACTAGGTGCGTTCTACATAGTCTTCCTGAACACAAGACCAAGTTGCGACAACGAGGTCAACCCATTTCTATACATCGAAAGGAGACTGCGACCCTAACAGAGGCCACAACATCTTGGTATTCATATCTTCTCATATCGTTGTGAAAATATTCTACTGCCAGTCCTTCATCATCTTATAAGAAATAGGGTGAATATATTTTAATGAAAAAAAATTACATTGGCTTCGAAAAAAACGATGCATAATAGTCTACGATTCAAATAAGGACATAATCTTAGCTGCTAAAGTGGAGGGCTCTGGACAAGAAGTGATGACCTAAATCTAAGACAACACTTAAAGGTTGCGAAAACGAAATCCGACCATTTTAATATAAAGTTAACTTTTTCCAACTCAAGTAAGAGTGAATTTATAATTTGATCATACAGACCATTTAGCTGTTACAAACTTAGATGAGCTATTTTCTAAAACTATGCAATTAATGACATTTAACGAAGTGTATTTATTATTTAAATTTAAGTTCTATTGGATCGTAGATATGAAAACAAAGATGCTATGGTCTTATGCTTGGTCGCGGTCTCCTTTAGCTTTATAGTGTTGGTTCGAACTTGTTCTCGCAACTTGGTCGAAGTGTCACGGAGACTTTGTAGAAAGTACCTGGTCCTGTGTCCTATACCATAGTACTCGTGATTTCCAGCATTTGATCATTGGCTGGGTACAGTTATAAATGTTTCGTCGGCATTATAGTCATCATCGTAGTGAGAGGCGCCATCGTAAACACAGAGTTACAACTTATCAAAGTGACAAGTAAAGACAACGGTTGAAGAGAAAATTGATCAAGGGGATTGCTTTCACTTGTCACTCTGATAAGTTGTAACTTTGTGTATATGATGGCGACTCTCTGAGGATGCCGACTAGGATGCAAGCGAAATGTTTTGGAATGTACACAATCAATGGTGCGATGCTGGAAATCACGAATACTATGGCAGAGGACACGTGACTAGGTACGTCCTACAAGGTCTCTCCGACGCTCCGACCAAGTTACAAAAATAAGGTTGAACTAACACTTAAGTTTTATTTTTTGGCACTAAAAATATATAGCAATAGCTAAAAGATAAGCTGATTTGATAGTGACAGCAACACACAAGCGATTATCTACCCATTTCTAAGAAGTATATACATTATACCTGCAGTGAACGTCGATTCAACGCAGCCTGGACGGCCACAACAGTCGAATCAGACAAATGTAGACTAGAACCATGTTTCGGCTTGCTGCGGTGCCATTGGAGACGAAAGCCGCCGGCTCCAGACCTTACAGTGTCACTAGCCGCCTCCTGTTGCTGCGTGTCGGACTGTCCTAGATCCGTCGGGACAGACAACTCTTCACGAGGAGATGACTGGGTTCTGCGGATTTTCGCCTCATCTGCGGTACGTGGAGGAGAAGTTGACCTGAATAAAAGGGAAAAATTGGGAAAAGTATTTCGGTGCTAACTGGGACTGTGATCTCCTTAATAATTTAGATTCCGAGCCGCTGGCCTCCAAGAGATAAAGATTCTGACAGCAATCCCCAGAAAAAGTCAGATCGCGTCGCATCTCTGAGAAGAATCTGTATAAAGTGTCTAATTAATCAAGCAGTTCAATGGCAACTGTACGAATGATAGATAATCGTGAATTATGTAGAACAGCTTCTCCGATTGCCAAAACAGTTTGAAGTAGTGAATATCCACTTCTTGTGGTAAACAGACGAAAATGGACACCAAAAAGTGCTTAAGGAAGAGAATTTTGCATCCATCTGAAAGTTTAATTGCCTTGACAATACCATGATTTGAAAGGGTCCGCATTGATATGGTAATTAAGTAGTTCGTAGACAAATACAAAATTGTTTATAGAGCAAAAGTGTTGTTGAAAATGACGTGTAGCACTTGCAGCTCGCAAGAATCCGGCCCAATAAATGTCACAATGTCTTGATTTATGAAACTATTGGCATTTTTGCGATCTGGCCGACTACATAGCGACGTGCCGATTAAAGCCTTGTTGATTACAAATACGAGTAAGTTGATGTTAGTCTTTTCTGTAACGAGGCTGCACTAATCAAGGTACAGAAACGCTCGAAGATAGAACCTCCGACTTGACACTTAAAACCAAGACGGTCGCAATGCATGACTCCTACTTTATTCATTCAGCTTGAGGGTAATTACAGTCTTGTAGAAAAAATACTTTCTCTCTTCCACCCCTCTTGCCCCCAATTTCCGTTGTGGTGGCAACAATGTATAGAAACGCTGAAGATTGAAATAAGAAATAAAAGATGAAAATGTATCCAGCTAACCTTGGTCGCCTCTGCGACAAGACAAGGCTGCGTTCTGTTGGCGTCGCCTCGTCCACGTCACTTCCGCCGGCTCCATGTTCGTCCATATGCTGCCGCTCGACGGAGGCAAAGCGACCAACGGCATCGCTGGCGAGTTGCGGCTGATGCCTTGTTGGGGTCAGGGTTGCATCTGTCATCAAGAGATGGCCAGAACAAAGATGAAGCTTTTGGACGCCTTTCGGACTCATGCAAAGTCCAGGCTCTCCAAGGTCCCCCAAAGCAGTGCAACCAAAGAATGAGTCCCGTTAGTATAACCACGAATCGGTTTTGTATGGTATTGCATAAATAATTGAAGAGAAGGCTTGTATCGGCACCAAAAACACATTCTCTCCAAGACAGAACTACAGCTTTGCCTTTATCTCATCATTACTTTTGACGCCACTTTGTAACAATCAAACTGGACACTTAAATGGCACCTTGGTCGCATAACTCTAGACTCGTTTAATTTCACGAACAGTTGAAACAGTTGAGACAGTTTTGCGTTACCTTGAAAATCCAGCTTGTTGTGAAATTCACTTGGACAAGAGATGTGTAGCCTATGATTTGCCGTGTTTATGCCTTAAATCACACATGCTCGATTCAACTCTCACTGGATGATGAAATAAGATGAGGCCTAATTTGAAGTCGAGTCTGGACAAAAACGGTATTTTCCTATGCTTACTGCATTTAAGTTGACTGAAAAATTATGCCCTTTTACCAAGACCTCGAGAATGTAATCATTATCAGTTACTACACGAGCATAAGAAACTTATGCATATTGGCAGCAATGAAAGTTATGATAGATTATTTTTGTATGTACACTTGTTCGGGTGTCCCCCTTTTCACATACAGTCAGGCCCATAAACACTGGGTTCTATCTCGATCTAATTATCAGACTGGTACTTGAAGACCAGTTTCGGGAATGCGCAGGAGTGCGTAACATGTTCAACATGTTAGATTCTTCGTTTCGGTTTATAAGTAGCTTGTCGAAACTACCATTGGATCTGATATAAGAAGTGTGTTCACCCTAATTTGTTAAAGTCACAATGCTATGTATAGGCTTGATACATAAAGGTCGCATAGCCTTGCCTCTAAAGAAGGAAATACGGTAAATGCAGTTCTTATATCAGATCTACTTTTAGTCTCGAAAGCCCACTTTAAAACAAAAAAAACAAAAGTAGTTGATTTCTATAGCAGATAGAGCTTTGCTTGGTCGATGATTCCACCACAGAAATGTAATATGGGAAAGGCTTTAGCTGCCTTGAAATCTACTTCTACCCAAAGACACTCATGGCAGTCTGGCGTAATGGTTACTGTGTTGAGACTATGCGCTGCTCTGCCACAAGTCGGATTCGAAACTGCAATACACTCCTTTCAGGATAAGAACTCCTTTTAAGAAGCAAATCTATGTGAAAATCAACGAAAACATGAGGCCTACATACATATTATGATGGGGAAATTCAACTACCAGTCCTCCATAACCCTAAACATAATATAACGAATACATAACATATGACTGATTTACTGGTGGTCCCAAAACTTCTTATCATAAACGAAAAATAAATGTTGTAGTGCTTCATTGATAGTTGGCATCATCAGTGAGCTTTGCCATTCTCCGTACGAGGCTAGGAACTCGTCAAAGAGACAAGTGAAGTCAATACCTCGACAACCATTGTGCCGAAAACGTTTAGACTATCACTCATCTTTCTGTAATTGTCTATCTATCTACTCTTTATCCTCTTATCCCACTGCCGCCCTATCACAACTTCTCGCTTGTTTACATTCCAATCGTCAAAATGTGTGCCTCAACTTGATAATAGGGACCACCTATTTTACATTCAACGGGGACATCTATGAACAAATATTTGGACTTCCCATGGGATCAACGCTGTTACAACCTTTCGCAAACGTATATATGAACGAAATAGAAGAAAGCTTCAAGACGGCACTGCTACAACCGACAGTACTCATGCTGTACTGGGATGATTACTTCGCACTTTTGCCACATAAAAGAGAAAAACTGGAAGAGTATCTGAAGTTTGTAAACCAGATTGATGAGAAAAATTTAACTCACAATGGAAGTAGAAGAAGGTGAGAGTTAACCCTTCTTGGACGTTGAAGTGATTCGCTCTAATGGGACGCTGAAAAAGAAATTGCTCAGAAAGAAGTCCTATGCTGGGATAATACTCAATTTCTGATCCCATCACAATTACAGACTAAAGATTGGAATAATAAAAAGCATGAGCAT